AAACATTTTACTAGTTATGTACTAATGCCATTGTGAATTATTAAATAAGTTATAAAAATATTTACCTTAATAAAATTTTCAAAGCAGAGAAAAGACATACATCAGGAATTACTATACGAGTATTTCCTACCTGACAACATTTCAAACTTACAAGACAAAGAGAAGCTGATGCTAGCCAGAGTCATGCTTCAGATATAGAATAATACAAATACATGTTTTGGAAAGCCTCAAAGATAACAAGTTGATAGAATATCTCTCCATCCTTTCAGGAATAATTGGTTTGCACTCTGACATAAACCAGTGCCGTATTTAATATGACTACATTAGAAACATGGCAATCCTCAGATATGGTGCTTAAAAGATGCTATTCAATCTGGGCAATGGATACATAGGTATTTGTTGTATGATTCTCTCTACTTTGATAGTATATTAAATATTTGGGTTTATGGTTCTGGCGTATTTAATATGACTACATTAGAAACATGGCAATCCTCAGATATGGTGCTTAAAAGATGCTATTCAATCTGGGCAATGGATACATAGATATTTGTTGTATGATTCTCTCTACTTTGATAGTATATTAAATATTTGGGTTTATGGTTCTGGCTAAGAAGGAGTAAGCACACTCCACTCTGTCTCTCTCATCAAATGTGCTATGGCTTGTGTCCCCTAAATTTCATGTGTTGAAAACTTAATCCCCAAGTTCATACGTTGATGGTATTTGGAGGTGGGGCCTTTGGGAGGTAATCAAGAATAGATAAGGTCATCAGAGTGGGGCCACCATGATGGGACTGGTGGCTTTGTAAGAGGAGGAAGAGAGACCTGAGCTGACACACTCCTGCCATCTCACCACGTGATGTCCTCTGCTATGTTATGACGCAGCAGTAAGGCTGAAGGACTTCACAGCCTCCAGAACCATGAGCTAAATAAACTTTTTTTCTATGTAAATTGTCCAGTCTGTGGTATTCTGTTACAGCAACAGAAAGCAGACTAAGACACAGTGCAACTAAAGCCTCTGGACAGAATGCATGGAGCAGCTATCTGAGGACTCTGAAAAGTAAATGGTAGCAGGTGCATTGGGAAAGAAAATGAGACTCAAAGTATGAAGTCCTGTGATGAGTTTCCTGATTTTTCCTTTTTTCCTTCCATACCTTCCAACTTGAACTAAAGGCAGCACAAATCATGGAACTGTACCCTGGGCACATAGAGAAAGATTTTTAAGAGAAGCCCTCTCTTTCTGGTCTAAGGAGCAGAAGGTGGGCCCTGAAAATCAGAGAAGGTGGGGAAATCCTCTGCTTCTTTTCTCTCTCTCCTGGCCTTGCCAACAGACAAGCCCCACTCCCAAAGCTGCAACCCTACAGTAGTATGGGTAGCAGCAATGGCTCTATAAGCACCTAAAACTCTGCCATAGGGGAATCTTTTTCTCTGACCAGAGGAACTGTGGTCAAGGCAGGTGGAGGGAGGATTCCTGTTTCTCTTTTTCTCTCCCTACCCTCCCACTGCTTGTTCTTGGAGACAGACCTAACTGTACACAGCAGAGCTGGGAGACTAAACCCTTGGCTTTCTAGTCAGAGAACCAGGAAAAGGGGGAGGAGGAGCTAAAGAATGTGAGTGAGATGACCATGAAGAGGAGGGAGCTTAAGAAAGGGATCCTGTAGAGTTGTGTAAGTACTCCTGGGCTTCCAACTGAGCTGTACATGGACTGTCTCTAAATATCATGGTAAAGCCTTGGAGAACTGAACTATGGGGTAGACCACTGCTCAGGTCTCACACAGGTCCCTGCATGGCACATATGTGAGAGCAATGTGCACTACAAAGATTTTGAAAAGTGAGGTGCAAAGGCTTGGAGAACTGAACTATGGGGTAGACCACTGCTCAGGTCTCACACTGGTCCCTGCATGGCACATATGTGAGAGCAATGTGCACTACAAAGATTTTGAAAAGTGAGGTGACATTGGTGTCAATGGTGTTGATAAAATTGGTCATCCAGACACACACACACAAAAAGAACCACAAACCTATTTCTATCTTGTACTAAAACGAACTCAAAATGGACCATAGATATAAATGTAAAACACAAGGCTATAAAAATTTTAGAAGAAAAATATGAGAAAATATTCATGACCTTAAGTTAGGCAAATGATTGTTAGATATCATAACAATTGCAGGATTCATTTTAAGAAAATAGAATATTGTACTTTATCAAAATTACAAACTTTTGTTCTGTGAAAAACATTGAAAAGACAAGCTACGGACTGTGAGAAAACATTTGTAGACCACATATCTAACCAAAGACTTGTATCCAAAATACATTAAGAACTCTCAAAATTCAGCAATAAGAAAACAACCCAATTTTAAAATTTTTTCAAAAGATTTGAAGACACTTCACCAAAGAAGATATACACATGAAAAAATGCTCGATATCATTAGCCATTAGGGAAATGCAAATTAAAACCACAATAAGATGCCTACACACCTATTAGAATGGCTAAAATTAAGGGGAAAAATGGCAACACCAAGTGCCAGAGAGGATGTGGAACAAGTGGACACTCCTACATCACTGGTAGGAATGCAAATGGCACAGCCCCTCTGAAAGACAGTCTGGCAGCC